ATTTCACTTCTTAAATATCACTGTGTTTGTTTGCTATATGATATATTTAATTGAAATTGCTGTTCCAAACAACCAATGATACATAAAGGAAAATCTTGAAAATGATCAGGGCTGCCCAAACTTTTTCATACCACTCTATATATTTGATATGCAAAAATACAGCTTGGCCATAGACTGGCCAAGACACTGACGATCTTCACACATGTGAAGGTAACTGACATATTAAAATATGTATTAAATATAATGAATCATTTACAATTGTGTTTATACATACGGGTTGTTTTCACAGAATTCCATTTAAATGCAGAATAAATTCTTTTAAAATAAATCAAACACAGAATCCCTCAGATGTTAGATAGTTATTTACAGTTAAATCAATAAGAGCTACGTATGTTTCAAAACAATACCTTTTTGAAATGCCAAGGAGATCCGATAGAGGGCGGTGATGTCAAACAAAGTCTGCCAACTTGCCAGTAGATCCCAAAGAAGAAGTTGTGATTAGTTGGTGGAATGGTTGTAGCTGATCTGTATGTGATATAAATGTCTAAATTTAATTATCGAATAATAATTTAATAATTTATTTTTAATTCGTAGTTTTTCCAACATCTTCAGTTAATTAAAATGACATGTCACCACATGGATCAGTGGACACTTGGTGCTATAGCAGTGGAAATATTGATCACTGTCTGTTCAACGGCCTCCACTCATTTAAATCCACTGAAGAGTAAATAATGTCATTGTTCTGTGGTTCTTCTTCTCTCCACAGGAGGGCCTTCTGTACACAGTCTTTAGAGAGGCGACACTGAAGTTCAATGGGAAACCTCCTCTTACCTTTATTGTTTCCGCCTGAACTGTGTTTTCACGCGAGATCGAGTTTCATTTAAAGATTCACGCGTTGTATATGACGTGACCGTCGACGCTGTCCGTGGTGCTGATTTGATTTATCAAAATTCTAAAACAGGATCTACCTGGAGACCAGGTCCATGTTTATAACCGTCGCTACAAAGGATATTTCTAAAAATATTTTCTGCGTCAATTTTTACGTTACGGTTTTTTAGCAACTATGAACGTGTGTGTTTGGTTTTATTTACTACGTCACGTGTTATACGTATTTTTTTCCCCTTGAGCTGAATAATAGGGTTCGTGCTTCTCTCCGATTCTTACAAATGAAGAAGTGCAACTTTTTTTTTTTTACTTGAAAAACAAACTGCCTGTTTGGTGGTCGAACATATTACGCAAGTCAGTCAGCAGCAGTAACACAGGAGGGGCTTCACGTTGAACACTGGTCGTAAGGGGGCGGTGTCCATCAGGAGGCTATAGAAGAGTTGCTGCGCACATTTACGCATCACTTGTTCTCGCAGATGCCCCAAACATTTTTACTCCTTTTTTTCCCCCCCGTCACCACCATCTTTTTAGATTTAGATTTTTAGATTTAAGATCCGCCATCGTTTGCGAAGTTTCCGACAACAAGTGCAGAAAGTCATGATGGGAGCGCGTGGATGGAGCGCAGCGCGTCTCGGCCTCGTTGTTTGTGGATATCTGGCGTTTTTGTGCGCGGACCTGGTTCCGCGGGTTGAAGCGGGCTGCGGGGAGAGAGAGAGTCCGAGCTGCTGCACGGGTCGGAATAACCATTGTTCTGAGTACAGCAGGAGGAAAACGGTGTGCTACTGTGACACCTACTGTCAGAAGACCGGAGACTGCTGCGAGGACTACCAGCGCGTGTGCCAGTTATCTGGTGAGTTGGACACCATCTCAGGCCATTTCAGTCAAATATATATATACATATATATATTTGACTGAAATGGCCTGAGATGGTGTCCAACTCACCAGATAACTGGCACACGCGCTGGTAGTCCTCGCAGCAGTCTCCGGTCTTCTGACAGTAGGTGTCACAGTAGCACACCGTTTTCCTCCTGCTGTACTCAGAACAATGGTTATTCCGACCCGTGCAGCAGCTCGGACTCTCTCTCTCCCCGCATATACATATACATATACATATACATATACATATACATATACATATACATATACATATACATATACATATACATATACATATACATATACATATACATATACATATACATATACATATACATATACATATACATATACATATACATATACATATACATATACATATACATATACATATATGTATATATATATTTGACTGAAATGGCCTGAGATGTTATATATATGAAGTAGATTTGTGGCAAGTAGACGTGATCCTCTCCACAGACAGTTGTTGGTCTCGAGTGGCAGTGAGGTGACAGGGAGACAGTGAGACATACTACACATAGATGTCTGCGTTGCAGCCATTATAGTTATTTGTTGTGAGACGGTTGTTAGAAGTAGTGTGTCCTCAACTTTGTCTTCTACTGCCGAAACAGTAGCGGCTCAACGTGTAGAGAAAACCTCAAATATTCAGTTTTTTTTTGTTGGTAAATTCAACATGAAATAAAATTTGGTTCTTAACAGAACACCCTGTCTTTAAACCAGTGTTTCCTAAACTTTTTTCTGGGGACTTATAATATTTTAAAAGTCACAAACCTTTGCGCCCCATATCAATTATGTCATTATTTGTAAACTCCTGGGAAACATGATGCGAGACGACCCCCCCCCCCAAAAAAAAAAAAAAAAACCCAACCTCTTGTGACCCACCTGAGGGTGGCGACCCAGTCTTTGGGAAACAATGCTTTAAACCACCTAAAAAGTCATCCACATAAGCACGATCACTAATGGATGAAAAAAATATTATTTGTACTTTTAAGTAAAAAACTTTTTGATCGCTTGACGAGAGAGCGGAAATGTCAGACTTTCAACACAACATTAACCGAGGTGTACGGCCCCATAAAACAGCTCGCTCTGCGCTATAATTTGCTGCAGCAGCAGCAGCAGCAGAAGCAGCAGCAACAGCAGCA